TATTTATTTATTTTTAAATTGCCGGAACAAGAGTCGCACATCCAATACAAGGTTTAAATTGAACTAATTTCTTTTACATATTATATCATTTTGTTGGTGTAAGGAGAGAAGGATTTGAGCTAGGGCTGCTCAATTAATCGAATTTTAATCTAAATTACGATCTGGGCTTTCAATGATCATTAAAAATGACTGAGCCGATTATTAGCACCTCCCTCGTGCTTTACTCTCGCGTTGCTCTGTGTGGCAAATCAAGCGCACCTCTCTGGGTTTCGAACACCCGTCACAACAAGAGGACCCGAGGGACGCTCGGAAAGCTCGAAAAGGTAAGCAGAAGTTATCTGGAGAGGAGAGGATAATGGCTGCTGAAGAAACAATGCCGTTGGTTGAAAAGAGAGGTAAAACGACTTCAGTGGTGTGGAAACATTATGGGTTCGCGTAGTGTGTCAGCTTTGCTACGGTGTCGTAGCTGCACCACAGAGCAACACTACAAATTTATTCAATCATTTGAAGACCGCTCACAAAGTGACATACGATCAAACAATGAAGGAGCACAGAGAAAAACTCTCGACAACACCTGCTTCATCCTCACAGACCTGCATTCACAATACCCTGTACAACGCGACTAAATATCCCACCAGCTCCCAGAGATATAAGGAGATAACAAACGTGGTAATGTTTTTCCTCGCCAAAGACCACTGCTCAGTGATAATCAACACTTTTCAGTTATTTTTTGTATTGCAAAATTTGCACTGTTATCAGTATTTGCACACTATTTTATATTATTTTTTGACAATCTTTAAAGCCAATATTCAGTACATTGTTAAATAAATATCGTCAAATAATTGAGATCTCAATTTCAGTAAAAATAATCGTGATTATTATTTTAGCCATAATCAAGCAGCATATTAATATGCTCACTCACAGATTTCTGTGCATCCTCAAACGTCTTCTCAATCGCAGAAATCTGACTGTCTCGGTCCTTGTAGATCTCTTCTTCTGTAAACTGCTGTTTGACAGACACTCCAATCCTAAACGCAAAAACAAAAACGTCTCGATTACATGAACACCTAGAACATGCATCTGTACATGTGTGGGTCTTGTTAATGTTGGTTTATAATGGAGCACTGTAACAAAAAAAATAATTTCCCCCAGGGATCAATAAAGTATTCTGATTCTGATGTGTGAAATGTAAAGGTGGAGTTCACTGATCCAACTTACTTGACTTCCACTTTCTCATTGGAAACACCGTATCGGTTAAACTCTGTGGAAATGTATTCCGTCTTCCTCATCCATGGGACAACTTTGGCATGCTGCTGCGACCTTATAGGGAAGGGGAAAATTGCTCAAAATAAAAAAATATTGCTGAATGCATAACACAAACCAGCCTATTTAGTAGTCATACCTCTTTGAACTGGATGGAGCCTGGATGTCCTCCTCCAACAGTTTTTCATCAGCGGGATCCAACAGAACTGAAAATGTGAAAGATTAACTTAGTCTGTGCAGACATTTAAATAATTCACAATGTAAATTAAGAACGGGATCAACCTTGATGGAGACTTACTGTTGGGGTCTATGCGGTATGTGTCTGGGTTGATAAGATCAATGGTGACCCCAAGGTCTGGTTCAGTCAGGAGTTCATGCTTGTGCTGCTTCTCAAGAGAAGTGGCTTTATACTGTACAAACCTGCCAATAAAGAAAACCACAGGTTATATATGGGTGTGTGTTTAAACATGTTTACTTGATGGGAAGTGAATACTTGTATTCACTCCATTCAGTGGAGTGAAAAATGAATACCTGTGCTGATCAAATGGATAAGTGATGAATTTAGGATCAAAGGGTATGTCAGGCAAGGTGTTGCAGTATTTCACTCTGCAGACAACTCCAGACCTGTCAAGAGCACCAAAGTAAAGAATACACCAATGGTAAGCCAGCAATCTTCACATACAGAAGCAGTTTCTGTACCTGACAGAAACTAAGTACATACAAATATGTTTTTAATCTACTGACCTCTCTGGGACGGTTCTGTGAGAGGATGGCCTGCTGGAAGAAAAAAAAAACAAAAAACAAAACAGCCATTGGTTAGTAGTAAAGAGTGCACAATCCCTTTACTACACAATTTAATTTTATATTAAGAATCCAAATGTCTTCAACTTGGAAAACAGAGAACCTCTCCTTTTGGGCAAAAATAGGGCATTCCTTATGTTGTCTATACATACTTTTCACTGTGGTCTGAAATGTACAGCTTAAACTAATTACAAGCTAACTCTCATTTTAATTGTTTTATTGTATTTTGCAAGATTACAAACGAACGACCAAAAATTCAAAACAAATATTGGCAATGGCAACACTGGAAGGGGTATTTGTGCGTTATCATGTTTAAAAGGAACAAAAGCTACCCTACACATATGACAAACTTAAAACCACTATTTTTTAGTACTTAATAACTAATCTTTCAGGCGCCTTTTTTCCGCCACATTGTTGTTAGCATTCTTGTAGCCAACATAAAGTCAGCTTTTGATTTGCCTGAACTTTACATTAGTGCTGCTAAAAATAATAATAATAATAATAAATTGTTGACCGGCACAAACTACTGACACTAAGCTTATGGAAATCCCTACGCTGATTTCTGTAAGCTTCTCGTAAATTAGCCGAACGTTAAGCTTGATTGTTTGTTTGCTAACACTTCCGACTAATGCTACACACATCACAAAAGCACCCTGGGACCCGCTGACCACTTGTTTCTGCATTAACCTTAATTCCGTGTCGTAAACTGACACAAAACGTGCAGAAACCACTCAGGTACGCGAACTTGTAAAGGCACTGTTGAACGTACCTGTGGCCGTCTTCTCGTTGAGATTGTGTCTGAATCGTTGGAGCCATGTTTATGAAAAAACGCTTAAAATTAAAAACAAAACCGTTTGTTTGCACAAATACGTCCGAAGTCAACAAAAAACATTAACTCCTATCGAGTTCATGGCCTGAGTGCGTTTTCATCTTTTATTAGCAGGATGGGATGATGACCCGGTAGTGTATCCACATCTCCAGTTCTTAAGTGGACTTTCTTTATTGTGAGCGCCTCCTAGTGTTCTGGAATTTGAAGTACTTGAACAACCCGTTGTCCTTTTTTTTTAAAAATTTATTTCACAGGAAAAGGGGACATTGGCGATTTTTGAAACAGAGTATTTGGTATGACAACCTTTATTCTTCAACACAACCTAAACTCTGTTAGGCAAGCTTTCCTATAAGTAGTTTTCAGAAATCTGCTTCAGGTTTCTAAGGACATTCAAAGCTCTTTGAATACTGACTGGCTTTTTTTCCTGTTCTTTGTTGAAATGATCCAGCACTGCTTGAATAGCATCAAGGTGTATGCTCTGGGGAAGCCAGTCCATGACTAATATTTATTTATTTTTTAAATCTATGTATGCTTTTACTGCAATGTGTTTGGGATCATTGACATGAAAAATTAAGCCTCTGCTGGATGGTATTGCATGGTGGATCAAAATCTGATACTGTAATGATGTCAGTAAGTCACACTACTGACTTAGACTCCATGTTTTACAGCTGATGTAGACATTGACTGTTGTGCCTTTTCTGACTTCCTCCATACATACAGTGATGATTTGGATAAATTACTATAGAAGACTTGTTGCCACTGATGTTTCATCCAGTTCTCCTGGAATTTGGCATACCTCAGCCTTTTCTCCCAGTTTACCTTGCTTAATAGATTCAAACAGGTGTAACAGAGACCCCTCCTATCACACCATTTCTGATGAGGTTGAAGTGAGCATCGACGGTAGATGGATCAACTGCAGCTCCTGTATCAGGTCTTTGCTGGATTCCAACTTCTTAAGCACATGGCTTTCACACACACACACACACTGCTCATCTGCTGTAGGTCTCCTACTTCTTGTCCTCACCTTGACCCAATACAAGCTTTCATTTAATAGATCTTTGGGAATCAACTTGTTGGTGCAAAAACAGAACAAAAAACCCAACACTAGTTTCTTCCAAACTTATCTTTGGCATTTTTTCCATATATTTGACTAAAGAAATACATTTTCCAATAAAATTGAAATACCCTCAAAAAAGCTCTTCAGAAAGCTTGTAGAACTATTGTTTAAGACCAGTTTAAAAGTGACAACATTTGGCTCTCTGGGAGAAAAATTTATTGAAACGAAGAAAACCCAAATATGCTGTTTCAGGGGAAACCATTTAATCAACAGACACCTACAGATAACACAAAAATGGCTGGCAGACAAATAATCTCACAGGCTAGCTGAGACTAATATGTTTGAAAAGTGGACTTTTCCTTTTATGTACTGGATATATCTATATATTTATAAAAAAAAAATTAAAAAAAAAGTTGCTTTATACACTTGCTACCATTCCCCCGATACATTTCTTGATCCCCTTTTACAAATGAATACATTTCCCTTGCCATCTTCTGACCTGGTATAAGATTTATTTTATAAGAGTGGTAATACAGTTGATCAAAATCAGATAAAGGCTGAAATTTGTAATACTAGATACCTCCTTCAAGCTCAAATAATGCTTTATGTACTGTAGGTGAAACGCTTAGTGTTAAGTGTATAAAAATATTTGATCAAATTATTAATTACCTATTCTACACTCATCACATGTGTTCCATCAAATCCAACATTCAAAAGTAGCTCATTGTTAAAAGCTGTAGCATCAAACATACAAACACCTGATAATTGACTGGAACAAATAATAAAAAAAAAAAAGATAATATAAAAAAAAAAAATATATATATATATATATATAATAATAATAATAATAATAATAATTATAATAATCTGGTAACAGATTTACAGTCATCAGCTTTCTGAAACCATGAATATAAGCTGTAAAAAGCAACAAATGTAGTTGCATAGAATCACATGATCAAAACACTCAACATTTAAAAAGAAGAAGAAAAAAAAAAAGTTTAAAATGAAATGGTAGACCCCACCACAAAAAGAAAAAAAAAAAAAGCATAGTCTCTTCTGAATCAACAGTTCCTTTACATTCATTCTGTTTCACCAAAATTTGAGAGTAAAAATCATAAATGTTGCACACACCCCTCTGCATCTCAGCTTGGCCCTTCACTCATGCTGTACCTCTCTACCATCTGTTATTGAAAGTGGACTGTGCACAAGGGTGCGCCAGGCAGGACAAAAAAAAAAAAAAAAGAAAAAAAAAAGGCTCCTGCCTTTTTTTTATATTCTTCAGTCACATTACTTCAACAGCTCTCCATTCAGAGTCTTTAGTGGACTTCTTGTTTTCTTTTCTTTTCTCCATCTCAGGTTTGCGTCTCTGTCTGGGCATCAGCGCTGTGGAAAGGGACAAGAGATCAGATTTGCATACAGGTATAAACAAACAGCTCATATTTTAAAAAACACCACACAAACAAACAAAAACCCACAACACACTGAATCAAGACATAATTCATACCGGCTTAACATGTAGATCATCTGTCCAGGATCATCTGCAAACATCCTGCAATGACAAGCGAATGGCTTTAAAATATTTTTCCCATCTACTAGTTCAAGGTCAAGGTCAAATTTATTTATATAGCAAATTTCAAACAGCCGATGCTGCACAAAGTGCTTAACAATATAAAAATGGTATTAAAAAGCAACAATGTAATACAATAATAACAATAAAAAAAAAACAATAATAGGACAGTAAAAGAATTAAAACAATAGCTAAACTAATTCAAATAAGACCAAAATGCTTGGGTCATAGTGTGTTAAAAGCCAGGGCATAGAAATGTGTCTTTAGTAAAGATTTAAATTGCTCAAGTGTTTGTGCTGATCTAATATTTAAGGGGAGACTATTCCAAAGTCTGGGACCTGCCACAGAGAAGGGTCTATCACCACGGGATTTGAGGTTAGTCCGTGGGATGGACAGCATTAGTTTTGAGCTAGACCTCGTGGTTTTTCCTGGAGCATAGGCAGAGAGGAGCTCAGACAGGTAAGGAGTTCAAAACAGGGCTTGAGGGTTAAGATCAAATTACAGCCATAGTTTAAAATTGTGACATCTTTACTTTCAATCCTTGTGAGTCTACAGTCTCTCTTTTTTCCACAAACTTTGTCCAAGTTAGTTCAAAGACATTTCAGTGAGCAAAACATGAGTCATGTGAAGTCAAACTTGTTTATAATTATGGGTGACAGTACAAATCAATCTGACTTAGTAACAACACACTGACACATACTTAACTGCCCTTGAAAAACTCAAATTTGAAAGAGCATTGAATTTGCTCAGCACAACTGTGCCATCTTGCACACATCTAACTGTTCCCAGATTGGTCTGTTATTGGTGTGTGTTGAATCAAAACATATGCAGCAGAAGAAACTGTATTTTATTTGCATAGAAAACTGAGGAATTTCTGAACAAGTGTTTGTTCCAAAGCAATGCATTCAACGTAGTCCTGATAGGTTAGTTGCTCTTGACATGAAGCTCTCATTGTCAGAGACAACTTTTTAAATAAATTAATAGCAGAAGTTGTCTATGGATCCTAGCTAATAAGGCGACAAGAGGATGGCGCAGCCTTAAACCAATTCAATGGGAAAAGCAGTAGAATAAATCAGGTACTTAGATGAAGAATGACTACATTTAATTCGGATATTGTGAGATATGTAGATACAACTTAATCACTCAAGAAATAAAAATATTAAAAAAAAAAAAAAAAAAAAAAAAGACACCATAGAACAATCTCTTACCCATCCCCCCAGTGGTAAAATGCACGGTCTTGGAAGAACATGGACAGGAACAACCACAGGCTTATCAACTCCAGCCAGAAGATAACAAACAGGAGCCATAGCGATGTGAGCAGGATTTCACACAACATCCTGGAGCTCTGTGAGGACGACACATGCGTCATAAATAAGTGATGTCTTCAGTTTTATGAAGGTAGTGGGCACCATGTTGTTGCCAAATAACAATCAAATTATGTCTGTAGCACATACAACATGCAGTCCAAAAGTCTTGAGCCTCTCCTCAAGGTATTAGATTTTGTACTCAGGCTTTTTGGTAACTTTTTAAAGTTGTCTTGAGCAGTAGTTCCTCAGCCTTTCTGAAGGTCTTTCCGTGTTTTCGTTTGGACAGTGGCTGCTTTTTCACGAGTTTTTAAATTCGGTCATTGTACCTGACCATTTTCATAGGAATGTTTCTCTGTTAACCACTTAAGGCTGACCAAGGAATAATTCAAGCACCCAAGTTACAGGATTAATTAGTGTTTTATCGACGCACAAGTGACACCTTGGCAAAGAAGTGATTTTAAACTGTATCTTTAGGCACTTTGTTATTAGTAGCAACTAAATACACAATTTACTTCCATTTCTGTAGTTGATTCTATGGAAAATGCTAAACAATACAATTTGAAGGTCTTTCAACTTTTTCCTCTGGAAACTGGTTGCTTTTCAACCAGTTTCTGTGAATGCATTGGGGGGGGGGGGGGGGGGGGGGGGGGGGGGGGGGGGGGGGGGAACAAAACAAAAACACAGAGTCATGATTGGCCTTTCCAGAGCTTAGGCCTCAACATTACTGAAGCAGGGGCACCTCCACAATTTTTTCATAAGGGTGGCCAAATGTGGACCACTAAAATATTTGGGGTGGCACACCAAAAACAGATAAAGTTGAGGAACATACAAAGTGAGACAATACAAATGACACACACAAAAGTAAAAAATGTATATGCAGGAATAAAGGACAATTTATTTTTTTCAACTCATTCTAAGGAGTCTTCCTACTTCGTGCTCACCTTTATTTTATTTATTTCATTACCAGCACAGTCTTGCCAGGGGGAAGAGGGAGGCCAGAAAATAATAATAATATTGACCTTCAGGTTTATTAATATTGTATAGCCTGTGTGTTTTGCCCTATACATTTAATTTCCGTGCATGTTTCACGTTTAATTAATTGGTTGTGGAAAAGATTTGAGTCAATGTTTGAGAGTCATTGACAACAAGAACAGAAACTCATTAACTGATGTTAAATACCTGGTGCCGCTAATCTTTCATCTTTTAGAAAAGATACGTTTAAAAAAAATCATTAATTATGAACAATGAAATGAAAGCTAGTTTTGCCAAACTCATCGACATTGACCGCACAAAACCTGTGCAGAGTCATATTTTATTTAATGTCCACGATTATCGTTCAGCGTGACACAGACAGTGAGAGTAGCTAGCTAGCGTGGCATCTAATGTCAAGCTATAAACAGTCCCGCTAGCCATCTACCTAGACACTTTCGAGCATTGAGAGTGCATGGGTGCTTGAGCTAACCATTGGATTTGACTTTTACCTTAACGATAACGTTAGAGTAATGAGCTGTTTACGCGAGTTTCGGTGCAGAAATCGAGTTATGTTAGCTACAAGAGATGAAAAAACTAGAGCCACTGGCTTTTAGCTAACGTTTCATTTGCCGCACACACCCATACTGTTAACAAGAAAGCGGTATCTAAATAGGGGGATTCGTGTTTTAGGCCTCTTACCTTACTCAAGGAAAAGACTCCTGAGACAGCATTCCTTCTTCTCTAGGCTAAGGAAACATTTACCATAGTTTTGTTTACAATGCTCGTCACATTACGCGTCAAGCGCAGTTCCGCTTTCAGAACCAATTACAACATCGGTTCATTTAAGCCGTGGTCCGCGGACGCTGATAGGTAGTGATGGCCAAATGAAGCTTTCCGAAGCACTGAAGCTTGTATTGAAAAACGGTTCATTACTCGAAGCTTTTCAACACAGTCCTCTCCGGTGACATCTGGTGGTGAAAATTTTGAAGAGCAGCTTGAATCTGCAAAATAAAACGGACTGCTCAATTATCACTGCTCACTCAAGAGTGGAGTTCTCTCTGATATTGGGCCACCGTTCCGTTGCTTTGAACATGTAATTGGTTTTGTTTTCTCGATTGGGGGGCTGAAAAAAATGTAATGCGTATTTGCGTAATACATTTTGATCAATAAACTTTCCCTATTTAAACATGCACTATGGTGGCCTTTCTTTGCTCATAACTCCTTGATGTTGGTAAATACAATAAGTGAGCAATATATATAATATACATATGATAATGCACAGCACATTATGGAGTATGCCCCTGCTGTGAAGTCCTGCCTCCATCTACTTGTCGTTTAATCACTGGACAGCTGGACAGGTTCATACAAAATATTAGATTAGGCCAATTGTCCTATACATATTTTTGACCTAGGGGTGGGATTGATTGTGAACTGGAAAGGGAAAATGCTTAGGAAGCTGAGTAGGGCTGCATCGTCACTGATTTGTAGAATCATTTTGATTCGATACAGGATCCGATTCAATTTGATTGGAATCTGGAAAGTTTTGCCTCAGTCAGAAATATTACAAGTCTGATCATTTAACAGTATATATCCATAATTTCGTATCTATTAAAAGAAAGCTGACACATGTGAGACTTAATTAGAGATGCAAACAGAGAGTTATGAAACCTGCAGCTGCAGAAGCCAGCGAAAAAAAAAGAGGCAAACACAGCGCGGACCTGACGACGCACCAAAATCTGACTCTGACGCGTCGGGTCTGCGCTCTGTGTTCACGTTTGTATGCAGAATCCGTAAACCTGCTCGCAGTTACTGTTTTAGCTGCATGGTGTTTGACGACATGTTGTGAGGTTTAACCTGAGATGCTGGCGTTTCAGGCATAATAACGTTAATTTACAAATCGACACGGGATTTTAATGAATCAATATCACTTTATTCAATTTAGCATGGATTGTAATCAGAAAAGCGATAATCAAAACCCATCCCTAATCAAGAACTTGCAAAGTAAAAACATGATCAATGTAAGGTAGCCCTTTTGTTATTTACAGTTAACAAGAGGATTAGTGTTACTGTGCGCTGGCTGAGTCTGTTTCTTTTCTTAGAAATAGTTTCTCCTGCCCTGGAGAAAATCCACTTGCATGGAACAGAAGAGGCTGTGGAGTGCAGGAACTACACTGCAAGTTGGTAGATATGCAGGTATTCCTGGGTCCTGCAGACTATCACCTAAAAACAATAAACAAAATGATTTTCTAAACTGTGTAGCAATGTCATGTACGTATAGTGTCAAATACATTTTTGTAGTCTTCATCAGCTTTAATTCACATGGAAGTGTTCCTAAAGTCATATGCTGTAATGATATTTACATTATGAAAACATGATTTTGGACATTTCAAGTTTTTCACTTCGGCAGATAAAATGAATTGAGCAAAATCAACTCAAAATATTCCCACACGCCAGAACGTCCTCTCTTCCTCGCTGGCTCCATATCTGTCAGTGGAATGATCACCTCGTCGCTATCTGTCACCATCAACACACTCCACGAATCCCGTGGATGATTCACTTCCTTATATCTGTTTGAATCAGGTACCGAAGCAGTTACGTGCGTAATGAAGCTTCGGACGTCACTGGTCACGTGACTTTTGCCAAACGAAGCAAGCCTCGACACAGTGCTTCTGAACCAGTGTGTTGTTTTTTTCGACACACGCTCCGGAGCGTCAGCTTCAAGCGGGCCATCACTACTGATAGGTCCTGTCAGGCCTCCAAATTAAACTACGTATCTTTCTCACAATACATATTCTATTCTGGATAATGTAATTCAATTATAAAATTATCAATACCAGTAGCTTCTATATGTAGAAACAATGTTTTGTTAATTGGGGGGGGAACGACATATTCTGCTGTACTGTAATTTTCGGTTTATATTTTTCATACATAAAACAGAATCATAAAATATTCCCGAAATTATTTTCTTCTACCAATTTAAAATGTACTTTAATTAAATTTAAAGGTTTTGCCAATTAATTTAACAATAGATTAAAAATAAAAACAAAAACAACAACTGCCCAGCCACTTTATTAGTTACACCTGTTCAACTGCTCAAGGTAAATTTCTAATCAACCAATCACACAGTAACTACTCAGACGTGTTAACTTGGTCAAGCTTGCCTAAAGGTCAAACTGAGGATCAGAACAAGAAAGGAAGGTGATTTTGAACACTGTGAGGTGGCAGACAGGCTGGTCTGTTTCAGAAATTGATGGTCTCCTGCCACACAACCATGTCTAGGGTTCACAAAGAACGGTCTAGGAAAGAGTTCATATTCAGTGAGGGACAAAATTTGGTACAAACAACATGACATTGTGTATCCATCCTGCCTTGTATCATATGTTGGTGCAGGTTGTGTAATGATGTCAGAAACGTTTTCTTGTCACACTTTGGAACAATGAGTATTATTGGTGACCATGTCCATCTCTTTATAGCAAGTGAATCCATTTTCTAATAGCTTCTGCTAGCAAGATAATGTTCCATATCAAAAATCTAGATCAATGACCATGACAAAGGGATTACTGTACTCATATTACCTCCAGCCAAACACGATCAGGGCACCTTTGCAATGTGACGGAACAGGAGACTTGCAATACGGATGTGTGTAGTCGACAAATCAGAGGCAACATTGTGATGCTATCAAGACCAAAATCTCTGAGGAATGTTTCCAGCACCTTGTTGAATCTTTGGTTCAATTAAGACAGTCAATAGGGTTCCAACCTGGGTACTTTTAAACAGTTTCTGTTCATGGACTCAGCCTTATTCATTTCCACTTAATCATGCCTTTTTTTTTTTTAAATAAATGTGTTTAATGTGATCATTGAAGCAAAATACATTAAAAAAAATACACAACCACAAAGTAAGCCATACTAAAATTACTTTATTACAGCTGATTTCTGTTCAATATCCCTCTGCCCACACAATAGTAAATACAATACAAACAATATAGTAAATTTGATCCTATTTTTTTAAATTCTGCTCAATATTTGTACACAATTTAAATCCACTTTTTGTACTTTACCATATCTTATGTAGTATCTTCATAATCTCTCTGACATTCAATAACAAGTTCCACCATCTATACATTTTATTATAGGTTATAAGTTGTAGTGGTAATGTGGCAAACAATACTGACATCTTCAAAGAAATGCAATATCTTTTTCAGAATTTGCCTGTCACCCCATCATCTTTTCAAGCCTTTTTACTTTGGCCACTACACCAGAACCTTGTTGTTTTGTTTCATACATTACATGTGGTCAGCCCAATGATAGGTTACAACCATGGAGATGAAACAAATGCAGTGGTATCTGGGCTTGGCAACTAAGGTATGGCACAGTGTTGGACCATAAAAAGGATCGCTATTTTCTGTCGCTGATTCTCATTCAGTATCCTACATGCTTTCAGTCAGTAGGAGAAATATCTGAAAGTTAAAGTCAAACAAATAAAACAAAACAAAATCTAATCCAGGCTGGTGGAGAAGTCTTTCGACTGATAACAAAATCCAGGTTCCCTCACACAAAACTATGACACAAAAGTGAACAAAATGTGTCCGCATAAACAAAGTTGGCATCTATGTGAGGTCTGATCGACCTAACATTCAAACTCTTGGCCGTGGCCTATGAATATAGTAACAATCCAATAAAGATAAATACATTCTCATCTTCTTTACAACATGAATAACTCAAAAGAAAAAAAATGATGACTACAACCTGTTTTGTTACAGTAGCTGGAACTAATCAGTTGGCATAACAGAAAAAAAAAAGTTTCGGGTTCAAACCATATGTAACTTGATACAATGCATACTTTCTAGGCAGAATATATACATAATGAAAGTTAAAATCCCACCTAGAAAGAAAAATATCCCAGCATTTTTGTGTGTCCTCAAATATGATAGGAATAGAGCAACAAACAACATTCAGAAAGAGCCAGCCAGAAAGGGCGGCTCTGAATCAGAGTGGAATGGAGACAAATGGTCGAATGTGTGCAGCGACAGAGAACTAACTCCGCAGTGGTAATACTCAGAGATGGTGACTAAACGAGTGGTATTTAAAGATGATAGTAAAGGCAATTTGTCAGTGTACACAAACCAAGCGTAACATTGAGATATGTCCACACAACTTAACACCTAAACTCTGAGCGTGAAAGGTTTACACATGTCACTGTAGTCTGTCAGTTTTTAGAAATCATTTTCTTAAAATGTGGGTTTACATTTAAAATTCCTGTAATTAAAAAAAAACAAAAAACAAAAAACAAAAAAAAACCCATACACACGCATACACACACATAAATTCCAGCTTTGTGAGGAGGAGCAGTCACTTTTGCCAACTCCAGAGAATTATCTTTAAAGTGTTTTATATTCTCAGTGTCAAAATGCCAAGTCTCACTTGAATGGAGAGGCTGTTAAAAGGTAAAATGGGAACATACTTCTCCAGCGATAGTTCATTAACTACAAACTGAAGAGAGAGAAAGAATGCAGACATGAATATAATTCAGAGGAGGAAAGGAAGTGTTTTTGCCACATGTATTTCGCACTTGGCTTGTGTTTTTTTTTTTTTTTTAAACTGTGCACTGACTAAGTTTTACATGCTACAACGTCAAAATGCAAGCATGTGCTCAATTCAGTCACCCAAGTTTTGGGGTTCAATGACTTGGTGTAACATTATTAACTTAGCACCTTTTAAATTATTAGTGTTGCTTACTTGGGCCCAGTGTTTTCATATTTAGTTGTGCCAAGCCTGCTGTTATGGTCATGACAATTAACTCTAACTTCCTGCCTGCCATAATAAACTCTCCAGTTTACTCGCTTCAGTTCATAGAAACTCTAGCCAAAACATACGCGCACACACACAAAA